GCAGCATTCGAAGTCGAATTTAATTTTCTGTATAATTTGCTAAACGATGTCGGATGACAGCGGAACTCGTTATCCCCGGTACTATCGTAATCATCTTGAATTTAAAAGGAAGGATACTCTGAGATGAGTTATTGAAACCTGTGCGCTGTTTCTGTGAGAAAGATTTCGTCTTTAATCGGCAGATGTGCTTTCAGGAATTTGATAATTCTTCATTTATAGATATCTTTCTTTCTCTCTCTATGCAACCTGAACTTATAATCTACGAATATTGAGTTTTCGAAAGTAGGTGCATTAGATACGTTATCATGTTAAAATAAATGAGGCGATTACGTAAAGCACACCGGAACACTCTTAGTCTGTTTACTTTCTTCATTAGAACAAACAATATTAACTACATAAGTTTTTTAAATTAAATTTATTTTATCATAGAAATAAAATTTGTGTTTGTAAATAATTAAAAATATAAAAATATTATTTTGTTACATACTACAACATGTGAATTCTCCCCCTAAAAATACACAGTAAAATTTCTTTTCGAGCTTCAGTCTTTCTTGCTGACAAATAATGTTTAAAAAAAAAAAAACAATTTTAAAAGATACTTTCTTAAAGTTAACTTATATATTTCTCTCTATTATTACAAAATATCGAAAAAAAAAAAAAATCTAATAGAGAAGGTTGCAATCTTTAGAACAATTTGCAGTTTGCATTTTAAGTGGTCTAATATAAAATGCTCTAACATAGTCATAATATTAATATAATTAGCTTTACACAGTAATTTTAATCCAATAAATTTCTTTGATCATCGATCGATATCTAATTCTAATTAAACGCGAGTATAGCTAAATCCACTTAAAGTCCGTCTTCTATTCGCGGTCAAATAATATCCCGCTTGATTCGGCGACTTAGTAAATATGTTACCTGCTAGCATAGCTGTTATTCTATACCAGAAGAAACACATTTTTTTGTTACCTTTTTTCGCGCTTTAACTATGCAGAAATTCCTTTCGCTGTCAAGCAGGTACAGAAATATTTCCGACGGACACGTTGTTACCTTCGCGCATTATTCGACATCATTTCGCTTCTTTCATCCTCGACAGCTGATGCTTTTAATTAATTATAGAGCCGGTTCGCTTTGAGTATAAACGCGCGATTGATTGAGTTTTGTGGATTAACGGTGCCCTGTCGAGACCATTTCCAAACCCGTCTCCGACTCTCGACGTTACACTCCTGACTGAAACTTCTTCCATGCCAAAGCTAGTAATCGTAAGTTTAACAGATTGAGACACGAAAGCCAACCGATCTCTTTCTCTCTCTCGCTCTCTTTTCTCCACCCATTTCCTTCCAGGGCTCCCCATCTTGCTCCGGGCAGCTTAAGGGTCGATACTACCATCGCATTCTACTTTCAAGCTCTGGGCACTTCGCCTTTCTTTTCTCGCCTCGTTCCTACCTTTGGGGATGAAGGCCACTTACACGAGCTTTTTCTCTTTGACCTACTGCTGCCACCGGCACGCAGATCTGTGATCCCTTGACACGAAGCACGATAAGCGGTGAATTAGGCGGCCCTTTTAAGCTCGATTCACGCTACGGACACAGTAGTGATCACAGTTCGGTCAGTTTATTAGATTGTATCATATTACAATCGATCTCGAATCAAGCTGTGGCCTTTGATCTAGTTCGTTTGTGAAAAATATCGCTGCGACGTGACATTGCTCTCGGCACGCTGCGTGACGACCTTTCGCTATCGCTGGATATATTTCGACCGACTCTTTTTCATAAATTTATGAGAATGTAAGCTGCAAATATGATTAAAACATGATATTATTTTTTCAAACGAAACCTCACATCTGATTGAAACAAAATCTACAGTTCTACTAACACAGACGCATCGCAGGTTTTTATCGTTCTTGCACAATATCATCGTTCCCTTTTTTAAATTTTACAAAGCGTCATGTACTCGTTTTATGCATCGTACGGGTAGTTCTAATTTCTGAAAAAAAAACAACAAAATTGATGCACGTGTATGGACACCACGTTGCATATAGAGCCGAAATAAATAACAAACTCGCCGAAATAAATAACAGATCTGCGTCAATGTGTCGAGAACGATTCTACTTTATTTCCATATAATACCGAATTTCAGTCTCTCCACTTTTTTTTTGCATTCGTCCATTTTTTGTTTTGACCTGCTACCGTTTCTAGCGAGCAACAGTAAAAGTTTGCACGAGCTGCGGTAACCGACATATTTGGAGCACCTCACAGCTGCTTCGCGAAAATAGTGAAGGTTTGTTAATTATTCCGCGATACTTTTTGACAAGAGCAATCTGATAATGATTCACAGAATTACTCAAAATATATTCCATATATACAGTCTATCCGACCGATATAAGCGGTTTGAAAAATTTCTTTAAAAAAAATTATAATTTATATATATCATTGATTTTTTAAATTCGTTTTCTCATATGAATGAAGGAGATAACATAAAATTTATGAGAAAATTTTTGTTTCAAATTAATAATTGAAAATTTCTTTCTTCCTAAACTTCCTGTTCTTTATTTTTAGATTTTTTCTATTTTNNATTATATAATATAAATTAAAATGAACATTCGGTCTGAACATACGGTCGAGTGAGTGAGACAAGTAATAAAATATGATTAAATAAATTTTGTTTATTGCGCATTAGTTACTTAATTATCATTAGGCCAATTAAATATACTCGACTGAATAAAATAAATTATTAATTTGTCACATTGTAAAATAATTTCGCCTCGTTGAATTAAACATTCTTAATTGCATGTGTGTGTGATAAACCTACTTTTTGTTTATTAATAAAGGTCGCCAATAAACGTCAAGGAAGAATCTCGCGATCACGGAAAGGTTTCTCACTCAGAGAAATAGATAATATCGACTGATCGACTACTTGTTGAAATAACGATGATCCCTTTTAGCGGCAAGACCATCGAGTTCTCGAATTCTCTCCCCGAAGCTATCTATAGAGCATGTACACCCTAAATTATGCATGACCTCTATACATGGCGCACTGTGGATTATATACAGCGGAAACGGACGTGCATCATCTATACATGCAAATGTTCTGGTCCTATATGTATTTATATTTCATGTCCGCCGGTTTAGAGCACGCCAAATTCACCTGATAGTAGTTATTTGCATCAGGTTGAATACAAGTTAATTCTAACGAGGAACTCGATTAAATATCGAAAAGTATAAAAAATATTAAAAATTTGTGTTTGAAAGTTTGTTTAATATGATTATATCTTCTATAAAAAAGGTCTTGTATAAAAATGCATGGAAGCTAATTGCATTCATCTTACTTAATCTTTTAAGTTTCAATTTTGCAACTTTGCCTTCAATATACTTTTTTCTTTCATCTATTGCATTTCTACGCTCTGCTGCATGCCCATCACTTCAGAAGTAAGATTAGAGACTATAAATGATCTACGTAGCGTGCAATATGCACAATTATTCTGTACACATATTACATACATCATTAACTAACATATTTTATCCAATAAATATTTTCTTTAATAGCGTACACATATGTATAACACATTAACTCTTAAATATACCTAATAATACAATTTTTATTTAAAAAAAAATAGATTGAATCATGCAATCATAAATAAAAAAAAATATAGTTTAATTTTAATATTGAATAAGATAAAAATTTTTCTTCTATATGATATTATTTAATTCTTGAATTGAATTTTAACGCAATAAATTAATTGCATAGTTTTTAATCTTGCAAAATCTTATTGAACAATAAGATTAAGTTTCTTGTTGTCTTTTCAGATCTATATTATAAAAAGGAACTAACACTTGTATTTGTATTGTATAAGTCAATAGAATATAAATAAATTAATAATATTTATAAGAGCGCGAAAAGAACTTCGATGAGTTGGCAACAAACTTAGATCGAACGGCTTTTCTAAGTAAATTAATAAATTATGTTTATTTTTAAGGTTGGAGATTGTAGAAAAGTAAGTTTGCAGGGTAAACGGTAGAACGTAGTTGCATGAGATGAACCTTGACGTATCTTGCGATTATCTCGAGGTTGTGTTTTCAATCTGGCCGGTTCATGCCAGTATTTTTCGACATCGACATCGTAGAAATCGACGATGCGAATAAAGAATAAGTTCGATACTCGACGCACGCACATCGACACTTCGTATACTCGTAAACGTCTCGCGCGCTCGATCTAGCGTAAAACAAGAACAAAAGACATCAAGCGAGAGCTATGAGGACATTTCCGTATTTCCTGATCGCAATCGGAAACTCGACGAAGCGCGGAATTTGCAAGCGCTGCGAAATTTGCTCGAATGCAACGGAGTCTATTCCGTTATAATGTACGCTAATGCACATAGTGGCGAAAACTCAATTTCTAACACGAAATAATTCGGACATATTAACGTTGTAATTAGCATGGTTAAATATAATTTTCGCGTACCTACGCGAAAATGTATCTACCTATACTTTTTATCAATTATCCAATATATAATTTTGTCAATGTCAAATATATACGAATAATTTTAATAAAATTTAAATAAAAATTATTTCTACACCGCGTGTGCGTCGTTAATTTTTTTAAAAATTTTTTGTAATTTTTCTGATAAGGATAAAGTGATTTAGCTAAAATCCTATTTTTTCACAAAAGATGCATTTTATTCGTCATATTCGTTCTTTAATGATCAAAAGCAAATCGTATGACGATATGCTTTTGATAGGCAACGCAATATGAACTGCATTCGTTCGCTTATGAATTGCATTTGTTCTAGAATTCGTCCTCTTGAAAAAGACAAACTTTAATAATTATGCTTATCGAGTTATTCAAAGCGTATACGGAATTTTGCAGAAACATGCATTTGCATCGCAAAGTGACTTCTACGTTTTTGCTATAAATTCAACTACGAGATGATCGCATAATTAAGAACTAATACCTTATGCCTGTACCCTACCTCATTAACCTGCATCTCTGGTGCTGTTCAGGCAAGGTGGACGAGAAAGCGACGCAGCTGCACGCGATAGCGTCGCTGAAGGTGCTGCTGGATGCCACCAGGCCGCACAACGGCGCCGCGACGTCGACCGCCGCCCATTATTCCGGTGCTCCCTCGAAGGAGACGACCCTGCAGCTGCAGCAGGGCTCGCAAGGAACCACCACCACTACCACGACTACGACTACCACCGCCGGCACCACCGCTGGCATTCAGGAACTTCCTAATGGCGGTATCGCCGCCGGTCTCGACGCTGGCCTCGAATCGGTAATTGTCGAATACAAGAAATTCCGCATGCTGAGAGTTTGACTGGGATCTATTGATTAATTTCAGGCGTTATTGTTGCCGATGTCAGGAAATCGTTAATCAAAAATGCCGAATTGTACCGCGCTTACCTCGTAAAAGATGCATAATGATTTTTTTGATTGGACTCCCTTAAATAAAATTAATATATTATTGATAAGCAGTGGTTTGGATTATAAGCACTTCAAACAATGAAATCTCACTGATAAGAATCAATTAATGATAGTGGCTGATTTTTCAGTGAAATCTTATTGGCTTACTGTATATTTAGTGAAACATAAGACGAGCAAAGTGCGAGTATTTTTAATAAAATACTCGCTGATCTTTGGTGAAATTTTGTCACCGTTTTAATAAATGAATTTTCATTGATCAATTTATAAAAGAATATTTTTTACGAAATTCTCGAACATATGACACTTTTCCGATTTTTAGAGAAGAGAGTCAAGAGAGGAAGTAGTGAAAGTTTTTGCGAACGTTTACACATTCATGTCGTTTAATAAAATCGATCGATGTCCTCCAAGTTATACATGACCCTTCTTGTCATACATAATTTATTTCTGATAGTTAAGAAAGGAACCTCATTTTGGCATAAGGATCCGATTCGTTAAGCGGTGTGTTCCGATCCAAGAGATTGGAATAGTTTCCCGTGCTATATCGTTGTAAAACAAAGAGGCTGAGAATGAGAGTTGATTGGAATTTGTCGTTCCACTTTTCTTAACAAAATGTTTGAGTTGCTCGCAGCAACCAGCTCCATCGTCACGTTTCTCCTTTAAACGCGATCATTTCGAATACCCATTATTTTTCGCGCGCAAAAATATTATAAAAAATATATAGAAAAGAGAGAAGTAACTTTCAGCTCGATAAATAAGTACAATAGGCTAATTTTAAAATTAGTAATAGCAACTTCTTTCGAGATGGCTGTCGCGTACATCGGAACACGCTTTGTAAAGGGCACGTTAGTTCGATATCGTAATGCTCTACTTTCCATTGTGAAATGTTTGCTTCTATCACGACTTTGATATCCTGAATTAGAATAGGCAGTTTAATTCCCGCAATATACTGCGAATCACGCAAAGTGATCCTTTTTAACTTGTACGTTCAACGTCATTCTGGATGTAACATTCCGCTCTACATATTTTCGAGCTCTCTCGATTAGATACATCTGTGTTAATATAAAATCATAATCTCTCTCTTTCTTTCTCTCTCTCTCGTGTAATTTCAAAAATTTTAACATTTTAATTATTTGCTACAAGAAAAATTTACAGGCAGAATATAATTCAGATTATAAAATGAAATTTATGCGTCAAAATAATGTTTCAAAAAACATAATAAAAATTTATATAAGTAGATTTAATTGTTATATATTACAATATTCATTCACACATATTTCCTGAGCGATACATTAATAGTTACATCACTATCAAAAGAGATTTTACAGATGGTAATATTGCTCTCTAGTTAGCTGGTCAAATGTCGTCCTCGTAAATCTCCCTCAAAGTAACAGCGGCGATAGTCAAAGTTAGCTTTATGCTAACTACGTTCGCAGCTTTAAACGCGCACGAGTATAAATCGACACGGTGTTCATCCATTAAGTCTTATCGGGACAACCGCAATTTTCAGCCGCGCAGCAAGCCGACCCCGCCTCGAACTTGACGGTTATAAATCAGAGCGATGCTCGATATTTGTCGGCTTCGAACTTTAAAAGTTCATCCAAGGTTATTTTGCCCGCGTCGAATTCGACCGCGTTAAGGAGTGAAATATGTGAAAATAGGGGCCCGTCAACGTCGCGCGGTATCTCGATAGGGAAAATCCAATCGGATCTCGCAGCGTAGGCGCGTGCACGGTAGTCGTCAGAGGGAAAAAGAAACTAAAGAGCAAAAGAATCGATAACTTTTTATCTATGTCGAATGCGACGCTTCTCCTCGGAGTAGAAATGACTGCCAAACACGATCGATGCAATAAGAGATGAGAGAATGCAACGAACGACGTCGCTCTTTTAAACTTTTCGGCTGTTCGTCGGATGATATCAGGAAGAACTCTACCGAGAATCTGTGTGATTCAATTATTCTTTTCGATAAGACGATAGTATGATAGAAATGCATATTTGAAATCATCGTTATTTCCCATCGCGTTGACCTCCAACTTCAACAAACGGCCTTATCGTTATCTATCTCTCTTTTCGTGTCTTTACCATCTTCGGAAAATTCTAAAGTGAGATCGCGAATTGTAAATCCGACAACAAACGTATATGTGAAATCCTATTAACGTTCACTTAAACACTCCGTTAGCAACGCTAAATCGACTCTTAATTGCGGAATAAATTTTCGACGAAGTGTATAGTAAGGTACAGGTAGCTTTGATGACTCTCGTGACTCCAATTAAAAGAGAATGTCCCGAGAAGCGACGACAAAACAGATCGGTGGTCAGCCGCAACAAATTGCCATGTCGTGCACGACCCTCGGTTTAAATCGATATATTGCGTCGTGTCATTTTCTTGCGTCAAACATTCGAGCTTTTATCGCCATATTAACATTTATCATGTCCAGCAATGTGAAGAACAACAAAGTACTCACTTAAATAATACATCGCGTATAAGCACGTTCACGTCACGTATCGAATTTTATCCGGCATCGTCTTTCGATTAAAGTCAGCTTTGATTGAATCAGCCGCGATATCCTGTGTGATATTGCAGCCCAATACGCAGTTCTATTTTAATGTTTATTTATTTTTTACAACATTATTTAATCGTGACTTTAAAAAAGAAATATGAATTATGCGATTCATAAATACTTCTTTTTATTATTAAAAGTTTTAAGTTTTAATGGAAAAAATAAGACAATAATATTTATCATATTAATGATAATTAATTTTTTAATTAAATATTTAATCATGTATTTCTAACATATTGTCAAGTATAACAACTAAATATGTAAAATGTACGGTAAAGAAAACTATTTTTAAAATTTGTTTTAAAATCGAAAAGAAAATATAGCACTTATACAATACTTCTGTCTAGCATAATATGAATAAAGAAGACTCGAAAACTTAACGTTTATCGTAAAAAAGACCGCAACAATCGCTATTGTTACAAAAGAGTTCTCGTTCTTGCAGTCGATCGCAGTTACAATGACGCAAAGAAACGGAATGGCGAAACAATTTCCCCCCGAGCAGGATACATAACCGTCGCTGTAATTTGGAAAGTTACTCTGCGGAAATATAAATCGGAAATCGACTAATCCGAAGCTCTCTCGAGGATATTAGCCGGTGCTGGCTGGTATCGCGACGCCCGGATGGACAGCAAGTAGTCTCAGACGGCTTTGTCCTAAATGAGCGGAGAGAGGACCTTTTCATTTTGAATGCATCGGAGAATCTGGGTCAATGCTGCATCCCACCCATCCGCTGCATGTTGTAGAACCCGCGCGCGCGCTTCCCACGAATAAACGCAAACGAAGTCACCAACTGTCCGATTTTCCGAATTTGCGTAGATGAAAGAGACGCGCCCGGAGAACGTTTATATATAATGTTTCGGTCCAGCGGTCTCGTTAAACTTACAACGAAGTAACGAAATTCAAGATAAATGGCCGATGACGATATTAATCGAGTTAGATGGAGTTTGTTCAATTTTAATTTTTCGCGATTTTACATTTCCAATAAGTACAATGTTACAATACGATGATATAATTGATTTATATCGCTTATAATCATCGGCCTTGATCTTGCACATTGGCTCGAGCGTATAACTCTTCTCTTAAGCAGAAGTACCATCCTTTAATAATAATCCCTGCTAATGCTTAGACATTCAAAACGAGGATTAGTCTGGAACTAGGTTTATTTCGTTCTTGAATGACGGAGTGACTGAAAACAACGGTAGTTTATATAAGCGATGGCATTGTGTCGCGGTTTACTCGAGACTGAATAACGAAAAGATACTTTGTGTCTTTGCTATCACAACTCGTGGTTTTTAAAAGGGTTCTCGAGCTTTGTGGCATTTCTCGATAATGCGAATAAACGTTACATTCGCATTACTCGAGATAGCGGTAAAATATTGTCATTTAAGCGGCTTCAAATAAACAAATTTAACGTTCGCGCATCTTTGATTAAAGCGAAAATACAATTTAAGGAAAATTTAATTTTTCGATATGCTTATTCGTAGGGCGAAGAGGATGAACCTCCAGAGGCCTTGGACATGGGCTGGCCCAGCAGCTCGAGAAAAAGGCTGACTTACATCTTGGTCGCGCCAATCTTATTTCCTCTTTGGTTAACGTTACCAGATACGAGAACACCTAGAGGTAATCAGTAATCACCTTTCTATACTAGTATGAATTTGAACGAATAATACATAAATTATTTTTCACTCACAGTGAACATCTTTCGTTTTGTAATGTTGTCTTTTCTTAGTTTTAGTCATTAAAAAAGTTTATATCTAACAACATATATAAAGAAAAAGATATAATTTTCAATTTTACACTCAAAAAAATGTCTTGCTGATATAGGTAGATTTCTAGGTGTCACAACAAAAATTTATCGCTATTTTTTGTATCTGTTAGAATATTGTCTGTTACATATAGAATTTATAGCAGCAACATTCTAATAATATCTTCTAGAAAATTTAGGTCCCATTGCCAAATGTTAATCACTGCATTGGATAAATATGAGTTTCGATACTACAGAACGATCTTTGTGAGAAATATAACTGCCAATTATAACTGCAGCATCGAAAAATTGAGAAAAATTGTTTAAAAGAGCTAGATAGATTGAGCGCGTTATACAAATATGTTAGACGTGAGGATTATATATTCATTTGTTTCTTGCCGCTAATTTTTTCTGTCTACCACAGCCAAACTTTATAACAAGTATGATTGGCCTTAACATGGATAGGCGCCACAGAAAAACATTCTTTCTAAATTTCACAAACAGTTCAGATATAAATTCTGTCTCTGTCACTTAGATTGATTAAATGCGAAACATATGCGATATCACAGTATTTGCTAATCATTTATGTACCTCAGTTAATTTTGCGCACCCAGAAAATTTTTGCTGTAGTTGCAATACCACTTTTTTGAGTGTATGGAATTAAATAAGAGTAATTATCGTAGAACAAATCTGTGGTGTAAAAATTAGACGAAACTAAATCTGTCGTAATCGTTTGTTTGATTGATGTGATAAACAGTTGAATATTTGCGCCGTTACTAATCCTTTACTCAATAGCCTTTTCTTTTAATATTTTCACTGTTGACTGTTTGAGCGATATTAGATTTCCTTCATACCGACGAATATAATCGGTCCTGAATAGAGGCAGATGAAAACTGGAGCAAAGACAAAAGCAAATCCTTTGTAAAGCGCAAGAGCGATTAAGCACTCTCATTTACATATCTTGCGCCCATTGCGAGACCCAAACTCCTTTCTCCCTGAAAAGTCAATTAGGATATTTATGAAACGAATATAGAAACCTTCAAGAACACGGAAAATTTAATTCTCCAAAAGTATTTCTAATCGATAAATATATTTATGAGCTTCATATTTTCCGCTCTTTTATACTTTGTCATTGCTCGACAATAATATTAAGATGCAAAAATATGTCAAGATAATTTCTATTTCAATTTCGTTATATCTCGTTATTCATATTATTTGATTTTACTGCGATGGCGAATATAATCGAGAATATATATTCACGTATATTTCATTTGACTGCAATAAATTGCACAAACTATGATAAATATCCGATCTGTATATTATACCCCTTGCAAGGAATGAGAATTGATAGAATCTAAGAATTCTTGCGCGATAATTAAATTATCCAGCATTAAATTTTATATTTCATTATGCATTAATTATTATATCTGATGCATCGCTATGCTGATAGAAGCGCGTGAACAACGATTTATCGTTCGCCAGAAATATTATCCGAGGAAGCAAAAAAAAAAAGATGTAGAGAAGCGTGTGTGTTTCAAATGTGCCATTAATTACAGCCAAAACCCTAGGCCGTGGAAGGTGTGTGTACCTGTTTTTTTAACTCGCTGAAAACGTCGGGATCAGATTGAATCCTATCAATCAGCGCAAACGTCGCACCATGTTTTGCCCGCCCGGTATATATATATATATATTATATTGACCCCCGGGTAATATTAGCTCAACTCTGGGAATTTGGGATTCCGAGCCATCGATTTCACCGAGATGAAACTCTTGGTCTTTCATTAATACATAAGAGACTAATTAAACGGCATTTATGCCTAACTTGCTGTATAAGTTTATATTTCGTACATTCTTAATGTCGTGCAACGTATAGCAATGCCTTGTCAAATATCAGCGCGTCGGAAAATAATAATAAATAATGAAACATTTTTTTGAAATTTCACCGTGAGAACGCGGACGGTAATCGTGGATTATCACGTGAAAGACATTACGGTGATACGATTCGGCCGCTTATCGGAATCGCGAGGTCGAGTGAATCTCTATTTTATTTGGAGACATGCTCACGTTCCAATTTAATAATAAATGTTAAGATCAACGTGATCGTCATTCGCGCGCTGCTATTATTCAAAGCATCTCACAGCCACCATTTATCACGCCTCCTGCATTATCTCGGCCTAATAACACGCCTCTATTGCGACACTGCACAATGCTCGCGACGAAAGATGATATTGACACGTTAATTTCGCATCGAGGACTGATTGTTGCGCACGAATGCATAGATAGTATGTACATACTCATTCTATTGTTAACTAAAATTCCGATATGTCCTTTGAATTTCAGCAATCTCGGGTCTTTGATTACCGATCTGTTAATATGAATGTTGCCGTGATCAATTGATGCGGGATTGTACGCACCGCAAAATGCACAAACGAGTCAAAGATCGCCATCAAATTTTATATATATAGCTCAATTTATTTGTTTGTCAACATTTTTATAAAAAGTTTATATAAACCGAAATATACAAACTTTCTTCTTATGTATTGACACACACATAAAAACTTTCTTTCTTCAATACAAGTATATTATATATATATATATGATATTCATATATAAAAAAAGAATTTTTAAAAATTGAAAAAAGTTAGCAAATATTTTCTGCTAAAATATATATACGATTACTTTTTCTTTTTGCATTTAATTTTAAAAAAATAATTTGTGATGCGATTCTCTCGTTTTTCGAATAATTAAAACTATTCGGATTAAACTTAATTCATCTCTCTAAATTAAGCAAATTAATTATCGCGTTACTGTTCCATTGTATAATTTTATTTATTCAGATTTTAGAAAGCTAATGGAAAACAATTCAGTAATGGAAACATTCATTCTGCAATCTCATTCCGCTTTAGAGATTGCCATAATCATAATCATGAAAATAAATTAGTTTCGCGAACGAATGCCAAAAAATTCGTTATGTTTCTAGAACAGAACCATCTATATGGTATATATTGGGTTCCACTAAGTAATCATTCGAGGCAGAAATCTTCTTCCAACGTTCTCAAATTAAACCCCTGAGATTCGGTCATTAGGATTAAATTACGGGGCGGATTAAATATCTCGAACTTCACCCTCGTCGTCGTACTTAAAGTAAATACGTCATTGAAGGTAGAAAACTGGTAGTTTTTATTGGCAGAGAACAAATTTGTCTACCGTTATATATCTCTAAGAAAAAATGCTATTTACTAAAGACTCCTCATTTAAACAACAGTACAAACGTTTCTTTTAAACAATAGCGATATTGACGATCGGAATTTAAATCGTTAGATTAATTAATTGATGATATCTCTGTAATTTTGATATCTTTCCTTGAATTTTATTTTATTTAACGATATATATTCAGTTGCCAATCAACTTGTGTGTACATCCATAATTATGTATTCCCTGATTAATTTTTTTTTTTATATTCGAAACGAGCTATATTTGTGAGAGATTCGTATCACGTACATCAATTAGCCAACGTTACACAACGATATCGGAATGGTAATCGACCAAGCACATTTAACATACTTAAACTACTCCCGTTAATGGAAACTGGAAACCAAGTGATGCGACTAGAGCGCTGGCGCCACATGGCTGACTGCATAATTGAGTGAAAGAACATCCCGCATCGTCGCAGCAACTATCCCGTCTTTTCCGACTCAATTTTGACACAGGAAAGATTACCGTCGTAACGTCCGGTATATCAACGTTATATACCGGTATATCCTGTTAGCTAACGATTAATTATTGTATATTAGTTATAGATTAGTTTATATAAAGTTGGGACAAGTAACAGATGCCGTATATCCGCTTAATTTCAGGAAAGAAGTTTTTCCCGATAACTTTCATCGGCTCGATCTTCTGGATCGCGGCGTACTCGTACCTGATGGTCTGGTGGGCGAATGTCGCCGGCGACACAGTAGCCATACCGCCGGAAGTGATGGGCCTGACGTTCCTCGCAGCCGGCACTAGCATACCGGACCTTATCACAAGCGTAATCGTGGCGCGGAAGGGATACGGCGATATGGCCGTGTCGAGTTCCGTCGGCAGCAACATCTTCGACGTGACCGTTGGGTGAGCATCCAAATCTTCTAGACATCTCGCGTCAATGTTGCATCCTGCAATATATTATATATGAAGGCATACATTCGTTCTGTTTCAAGAAATTCCAAAATATCTATTTTAAAACATTCCATAATTTTGTCTAATAATATACTCTAATATCGATACTAATTATTTCATTCTTGTACAAGTTATGTTATTTTGTTTTATCGCGTTTAGTGAATTGCACGAATATTTTAGAAAATCTCAATTCATTATGCCTTAATTTTATTTTATTTGTATATGTATCATTGTTTAAAAATGTTACAATTACTAAACTATTTTTTGATGAAACCAAATAGAGAAAGAAAATAAAAAATCCTAACTGTGCTCAACAAATTTTATAGAACTAAAAATTATTCCAAGAATATATATGATAAAAAAATAAAACAATTCTAAAAAATATTTTATCATAAAATATGTATATATCATATATGATAAGTAATATATATATATATATATATATATATATATTATTTTAAAAAAAGAATATTTATGTATGTGAAAGAGCGAACATCGTTTGGCACAGTCTTTCTAGAAAATTTTATTCTAGAAAAGTCGCAGCAACGTGTATTTCTCATTGATTCCGTACGTGAATAGAATTTTATGATATACTCTAATATATATGATAGCTATTGCTAGATTCGATATATAGATAAGATGAGAAAATAAGATAATGATAAGAAAATCTTTCAAGAAAGAATTGTACAGAATGTCATATTGATTTTCCGCTAGGATTATCCCGAATCTCGAAGAAATATAGAAAAAGAAAGTTAGAATATAAATTAGCATACATGAACCGAACGATATAGATACAAATGCTGAAAGATAAGCATTCTCAACACGTCTTTTATTAACATTTGGCGTAAAGAAAATTAATAAAGGAGAAAACAAATTAAAAAGAAGCAAAACTTTTTTATATTGTTTTATTGTACCAAAATTGTGTACCAGTGCCACGATTAATTCAGGTATTATAAATTTGCCACTTAATTAATATCAATAAATTTGTATTAATATTATTATTTGTTTAATCATCTAATTCTGCAATTGTTCAATATTAATCGGAAAATTCTAACTTGTACTTTTAAAACAACGCAAAGAATAATTTATTCAATAAAAAGGCAATATTCTGCAAGGATTATAAGTAAGAATTTTTCAAAAACTTTCTTGCTAAACAGCAAAGTAGCATAATAGATACTAAAATGTGTCGCGAGACAAAGAAATTTAATACATTCCTAAAAGCGTCTACTGCTTTTCCTGTTTTTGAATCCGAGACCCATTTACGTCGCACTATATTGAAGGATCGATTAACGAGAAGGACCAAGTGCCAAAGAGGCCGAAAAGCTTATTCGGAAAGGGATATCAATCTCAAATTTCGCTAATAGTGATCGTTCGAGCGGAACGAGAAAAACAACATATCAGAGTAACGTTTTATATGACAAAAAAAAAGTATCGATCAACTTGAACTGCACGTATTTTTTTCTCTAATTTAGTAAAAGGGATAATATTTTATTTTTCCTAAATCACTTTTTAAATTTTTACATAATGTATCTAAATCCTCAGCTAATGAAAGTTATTAATAAAATACGCGATTAACGTTTTTCATTATTTTCCCTTTACTGTCACTTCATAAAGCGCTTATTCACGGTATAATAGTCGACAGGTATTATCAGTATAAAAAAAAAACTGTGCTATTGTTACTCTTATTGTGCAAAGAATATATTCACAGCTAATATTTATCGTAATTATATGTTAACATAAATAAACATACGTTACTTTAAAGATATATTTATATTTTTGATATGTTTATGATTTGAATCATTAAATATATAATTAGTTGTTATCTATCAGCATATTATGGAATATTTAAATAAAATCAAATATCGAATAAAATATTGAATATCTTTAGCATATTTATACAAATTTTAACATCTTTTACACAGATAATAGATACGATATATATTTTTTGTTTCGTTAAAACTCATATGAAGATACTTTAAATTTAGAGCTTTGTCAGATTATTAAAAAAAAATGTCTGTTAACGTGGAACTTGTTTTCCTACTTTCTTTCTCTTTAATTATAATATTATTTTTATTCTTTTATTCAAAGATATGGAAAAACTTAAACACAATATATTGCATATTCTTCGGAAAAATATTCTTCTATTTCAAAAAATTTATAAACTTATATTTATTCCTGCAAAACGCGCACAATATTAATTCGTTATTCTTGCATTAGCTGGTATCAACTATTGCGGGCACTTTTCCCGATACTATTTAAACAATGTCAGCATTACCGGTAGGATCTTCAAAGAACGGAAATTGATATATAGACAGCAGAAATGATTATAGTTAGTAAGATATCAATGGCACAATAGAGTTCAATAGACGAATCGCGCAATATCGGAATTATTGAACTCCCTCGCATGTGTGTCCGCGCGAATACAATACACTTAATTATATACTAACTATATATACATACACATACGTATATTAGTATATACTTCTATATATGCTAGTATATATATTAAGTATGCATATATATATGTACTTTACACATACTCACACACACACATATTCTCTCTCTGATAATATATATGTTCGCGCATGCAATATGAATCAGATGATGACCGATGATTAAACGGGATTAGAAGAGATGTATGGAATTGGTAGCCAAACCAAATCTGTCGAAGAATTCTCACTATTTCACTATAATCGCATTCGCTATTCATTCTCTGGCATTATTACCGTATTATTGGCGCAGATGTCACGAATACTGTTTCAGCCATGACTCATTTTACGCGGATAAATTTCGAAAATCTCTACGCGAAACAACCATTTTATTTTTTTTTTTTTTTTACTAATTACATGATAAACGTCAATCAAGCAATGAAAATTTGACACTTTCTGAACTCGCCAATTTAATATTACGCGTATTCGCGTATTTGAATTTCTTGTGCTTGCACTCCAATTCTTACTACAAACGATACATATCTAAATCTCCGAAGCACTAACAGTAAAAAGAAAAATTCTTCATTTCGACATTAATAAAAATAAAGTAAAAAAACAAAATGATCTTGCAATTTTAACAATATTCTGTGTGATTTTTGAGCATGATATTTCCCGAGCGATCCTCGACGAAAAGCCAAGTTTATACAGTAACTTGTGGCTGTTACCGATAAGAATTCATTATCTTTCTGCACTTTGTCTTCACGACTATAAGATCCAATCTGTCGAAATTGATCGCGCATCCCTCCATAGCACTCGATCTCCTGAAAATCGCTCGTCGCGATGAAACATCAGATCCTTCTCATCACGATCAATCATAGCCACGCATTTGTCGACTGACTGCCAAATGGTAGAGGATTTGAAAGGAAAGTGAAGAAAAATATTTTTCCGTATTTGTGCGGAAGCGATTGCGACTGCACGTCAAATGATATATATCCAAGAGATGTCGACAGTATTGTTATAGGCAAACATGAATTATAGATATTTTACGTCAAATATATATATATATATAGAGAAAGAGAGAGAAAAAGCGCAACAAGAATCTAATAAAATTCATAATACAAGAGATCCAACATATATTCGGAAAATTTTGTCGAAAGCACGTATCACGTTTCACAATTTATATGATGATGTAACGAATATATGGAATTTTTTATATAATTAAATAAATGTTAATTAAAATAAATGATTAAGTGTATATAGTGGTAACATATGTAGTGGTAATTTTTAACAGGTCACAACACATTATTATTCTACAAAATAATTAATATATTTCGGAGAGATAAAATTATTTATATAATTCCAAGATTTTTTTAAGTTACTAGCTGGCAAACTCGATATGATATATAAGCAAACATTTAATTAAAAAGTTTTCGATCGATATATAATTAAGCATTGCTAATCTTAAATATTAATTCCACATAATCCTTCACGTTGCTGCAGCTATTACCTACATCTCTTTTTCTTAGAATATATTCACTGCACACATATTTGAAAGATATATATATTTTATTTTTTAATTAGAAAAAATATATATATCT